GACAAACTCACATGTTTTTTTTCTTAATGTAATTGCGAGCTTTTGCTAAAAACAATGCCATTTGAGATTTTATAAAAAATAAAATATGAGTCTTTTGAGATAACATCTCGATAGAATACATTTTAAGGCAAAATATAACTGAAGCATTTTTAAATGCCTACTTTATTTATATTGCTGTCTTATGAATTACAAATTTTACGTTGATTTCAAATTGATTTTATAAAATTTAAAACAACATTTAAACTTTTATACAAGGATAGATTATACGAAGTAATGAAAGTGATGGTATTTTCAATACTAAATTGAGTTAAAAAAAATATATCATGTAATTCTTATGTCATAACGCAAACTAGGCCAGCAAATAAAGATACAAAATTTTTAGTTACAATAATTTTTGTAGCTACAACTTATTTTTAATCAGGAAAACTATATCATACAAACAGTATTATTTATATTAGACTCAACAAATTTATTGTATGATCTAATAAAAATAAACTTGAACTGTATTTTTCGTTTCTGAAACTATTTTAATTATCTTGAAATATGCCATGTCAGTGTCTGGTAACATTTTCATCCCGAAAACGGAACATCTTGAATAACTTTTTATATAATGATCGGATTTTCGCGTATTAGAAAACAGTACTAACGATTCATTAGATAGATTTTATTCTAATATTAGTACCGATGATATTTTAAAATAAAAAAAATTATTTTAAAGCTTAATTTAAAATATACGTGTTACATTTATTTTATAGAAAAAAATATAACAAATTTAGTTTTTGGTCCTCAAATTTCGAGGGTTATAGTTACAAATTTAGAGAGAAAGCACTCAAGAGTTTAGTCAAAAGAGCGGTTTAAAGTTTAAATTCTTTTATGAAAGATTCATTTTTTTCTTCATATTCGCTTCCGTTTCTAGAACTATTTAAGCGAATCAAAATCTTTGTACACTTAAATATTAATGTAATAAAAATATCAACCAATTTATTTTTTTAATTATGTGTTAATACATATAGTTTTTATTAAAAAAAATAAAGCATTTACTCTATAGCCTGTTATCTGCAAGGGTAGTCGTGGAGCTTAAAGCCGATAATTTCTTGCCCAACGGCCGATGGTGTCAATAGCCAGCATTGCTAACAAACTTCTTTCACTTCCTTAACAAGATGTTACCCATTGAAATAGGGTGGGCTTCAAACCACTATCAAACTCTAGTCCTTTACCAATACTAGCTCATCTCTTTAACCAATAAACTATCAGCGTTTTTTGAAAAAATACCAAGAATGAAATTAATTATATTTTTATATTTCTCTTCATTTTGTTAGAAAAAATCACGGTTTTTAAAGAGGTTCAATTCACAAATATATAAATTGAAAGGCAGACCTTTTGTCTTAAATACATCTCATCTGGATTTAACAGACCTTTAGTTTTAAATATATTTTAGCTGAATTTAGTATATTGTTACCTCTCAGCTGAGTTCTAAATCTATCAAGAATTCAGTAGATTCTTTGCACATTTCTGGGATTTTGTGGCACTTTTACAAATGGAACGCCATAATGATACACGAAATTAGATAAAATATACCAAGTTTTTAAAAGAAATTAATTTATTAAGATGCGTGGACAAATCTTTCGCTGACCTTTGAACATTTGATCCGTAGTTAGGTTCGCACCACATACTTTGTAGTTATCGATTTTCAATGGTGTTCTAAATGCTGTACAAGCGCTTTCTCCGTGTTCTAGTTATTTTTTTAGCGTCGGTAGTTTACACCCAGTATTTTGCAGGGCAACACATGCAAAATGGTGACATCTGAACGTAAAAGCGTATTGTGTTCTGTAATTTGTAATGAGTGCCTTTAAAAATTCCATTTAAGAGTGTTTCATTCCAAGTTTCATATGATGTCTATATTACAGAGCTGTCTACCAATTTAATACCATTGAATCGTTGGTCAGCCGCTAATCAATGAGGTCCAAAGAATTGGGGCACAAATTTGACGAAGTTATTGCTCTTATTAATTTGGCTCCAACATAGTTAAACGAAGTGTGCAAGGAACTGAATTTCTAAATGTATGTACATATTGAGCATTTGTAAAAACATTTAGATTAATTCACTTCTATTTAATGTGTGAAATGTAATAAATAACCTAAATTAAACAGCTTTTACGCACCATTGAAATTGATATATTTTTAATAGGTACCTTGCATAAATTTGCAAATCTTTCTACCAATTTAAAACCATTGAATCATTGGTCAGCCGCTAATCAATGAGGTCCAAAGAATTGGGGCACAAATTTGAAGAAGTTATTGCTCTTATTAATTTGGCTCCAACATAGTTAAACGAAGTGTGCAAGGAACTGAATTTCTAAATGTATGTATATGTTGAGCATTTGTAAAAAAATTTAGATTAATTCACTTCTATTTAATGTGTGAAATGAAATAAATAACCTAAATTAAACAGCTTTTTCACACCATTGCAATTGATATATTTTTATAGGTACCTTGCATAAATGTTTTATTATAAAGTAGAAAAATGTTATATTTAAGTAAGTTTTGAATAAATTATACAAATTAAGTCATTTAAAAGCTAATACAGTTAAATCTTGATATTTTTATTTTATTTTACAAAGCAATTAAAGCCTATAGTGACTGCTTTCTTGAGTACTTGAGGTCATGATTGAAAAATTAAGACTTTATAATTACATACATAAAGATTTTCATTGTTTTTTCCATTCGGTTCAGTACACTTAATTAAATTCTGTTTGAGAGTTACAATTGTCAAATAAATTTAAAATGAATTGAAAATTTATTTGAATCTGTAAATCAATAAGTGTAAAAGTTAAATACTGTAAAAAAATTATTACCATGTGCATAAATTTCAAAATAATGAAACTTCTTAAGTTTCTTATTTAGACATCATTAAAATGATATAAATCTTATTCCAAAATGTTTTATTTTTCTATTTTCTTATATATTAGAAAGTGTATTAAAATATTTTACATAAAAGAATAATGAAGATTTCATAAATCTGCACAATATGAATATAGAAAAAACAGAATAAAAAAAAAACATTTTTATGATACATATTAACTAGTAGAAATTACAATATGTAATTTAAATATCCTAACTATTTCAAGTAGCTATCTGTATTCATACTTAGTGAAATATTATGGCTTCCTTTTCTTTTGATACTTAAATTGCAATTTTAATTTCATTTTTAAACTAATACTTTAATTAATTTAAGCAGTATCTGTTAAACCTGTTACGTAAGATAATTAACTAAAAAAGCTTACAGTTGTTATTGTAAGAGAATATAGTTATCAAAATTTCAGAATGAACTTTGCGATATTAGTATAATTTAATTTTCACCTTAACTAGACACAAAAATAATTTCTGAGATGATAAAGGAAAAACATATTTCTCATGTAAAATGAATAAAAAAAAAAGGCATTTTAAATTGTTTTCTAATTTTATCAACCTAACTGCATACAGAAAAAAATGTCATTAATTTGATACTTGATATTGTGTTTTTTAAACTGAGAATTTTGTGCTATTATCAATTCAGAATTTTTTTAGAAAAACATTAAATATTCCCTTAAGTTTTTTCAGCTTAAAAATGTAAACACTTTTAATTAAGCACTTTAGGTGTCAAGAATATTCGGTTAAATTAAATCTCGCATTTTAATTATTGTTCGCTATTTTTTATTTTTTTTACTTTATGTAAAAAAAAAAGGAAAATTTATTACTTTCGAGGGACAACTTTCAGGATTTATTTTTGGAGAAATAAAATAAAATTTATTTCTATTTTTTTTGTTTGTTTATTAACGATACAAATTGGGTGATACAAATTTTGATGTGCATTAAATAATAATTTCATTAAAACTTGTAATAACCCTTATAAGATACGAAGTTGAACAAGGATATCGTTCAAATTTGTTGAATTTTAAATATGGTGCAAACTTAAAACACATTACGTGATTACACAATAGCAAATTTTATTCAAATCAAACTAAAACATTATTCGAATAAAAAATTTATTAAGATCGCATCAATTTTGCACTGTCTTATTTTCAAAATAACGATATTATGGTCCAAATTTTTCAGGGAATTTAACTTTGGAAGAAAATCTTAGAGGGAAAATAATTGTAAACAATAAGTTTCTTTCCATTTTTCTTTTGTTTATTAATAAATGCAAATATGTTATTAGAAAATTGCGATATAAATTTTTTTGAAAAAAGTATAACACTACACTTTTAAAAACTTCGAAGCCCTTTTAATGATAATTTCATATAAACTTGTTACATTATAATAAGATGCCAAGTCAAACCATGATATTGTTCGAATTTTTTACTATTTAAATGTGGTGTAAACTTAAAACATATAACTTAAGCTATAGAATTGTGTAATCAAGTTTAACTTGAACAAAAACATTACTCGATTTATCACATCACTAAGATTGCACCAATTTTGAGTAGTGTTATTGTTCAAAATACCAATATTATGGTTCAATATTGAACCAATTCCTTAGAGAATTCAAGATTTTAAATGATACAACAAAAATTGCATAACAAAAAAAATATTATAAAATGAATTTCCATATGAATTTTGAAATTTAATTTTAAAAAAAATAAGTATCTTAAAGTAATTTATAAAACAAATTTTATTAAAAAGCTTTAAGAATTGTAGATAAAAACTTTTTTCAAGTAGTACCAATAGTGAAGTAGTCAAAATACCAATATTATGGTTCAATATTAAACCAATTTTTTAGAGAATTCAAGATTTTTAATGATACAACAAAAATTGTAAAATTAAAAAAAAAACTTATAAAATAAATTAAAAAAATTTAAAAAAATTCCAAATGAATTTTGAAATTTAATTTTAAAAAAAAATAAATATCTTAAAGTAATTTATAAAACAAATTTAATTAAAAAGTTCAAAGAGTTGTAGATCAAAACTTTTTTCGAGTAGTAAGAAAAGAATGAAAAATAATCGCCCAAGAAGCGAACTTACCGTCAACCGAAGGTACACCGGCGCGGTTCCGAACAAAAACCCGACGAAAATTCGAAGTAATCCAAAACGAATTTATGATTGAGGAAAGACACTAGTTCTAAAAGTGAGGAGCCCCGCGGTCCTAAAGCGTTGCTGTTGTCCAAGCATTTCAACGCAGTCTTCGCTTTGAAACTGCTTTGCTCTCAGTTAAGATGGTTACACCCAAAGAAAAACCGGCCAACCCCGAACGGGGCCCGAGGCCATCCGAGCTTGTTGGTGTCTTGTGGCTGGTGGGTGGGCGCACTTCTGACCCCTACTTACCTGCCTACTATCCGACGTGCCGCGGTCTGTCATTATAAGTCGCGACAAAACCACTGGAAGGAAAGTGTTGCAATAAAAACCTTTTTTTCTTCTGTAATAAACCTTTTCAAGCTTTATAATACTCATAGTACATTCGAGAGCAAACATCAACACGTTTTATTAATTTAATAACTTATAACGTTATACTTTAAGCTATTTAGTCAACTTATTGCAATATACTTTAACATTAAAGCCATCTAGTCAGCTTAGAACGCTATAATTTAATAATAATGTCTTCTAGTCAGGTTATAGCGCTATGTCTTTACATTATTGCCTTAAATATCCTAATCCCGATCTTCTGGAATATGACTTTTTTGAATGAATAAAACAGTAGCTGAAACATACTACAGCACAAGTTATCCTGCAAATCCAAACTTAGAGCAGTTTTTAGAGATTTAAGTGACGGAATTCTGTTTATTGAATAATGAATTGAACATTTTTAATGACTAACTGAAACATACTATATACCGTTGAGTTTTTTTTTTTCCGTCTTTTTTTTAAAAATTTGATAGCAATTATACTTCAACTTTAATCTAACATCAACGCCTTCTAGTCAGCTTATAGCGCCATACTTTGCCATTAATTTAACAATGTCTTCGATTTAGTTTACAACTCTATATTTTAATAGTAATTTAGTAATATTGTCTTGAATATCCCATAGTCTCGATATCTTGGAATATGGATCTTTTTTGAATGAATTAAACCTATTGCAGCACAAGTTTTCCAGAAAATTCAAGTAGTTTTTAGAACTTTAAGTATTCGCAATTCCGTTTCCTGAATTATGTATTGCGGATATTTTTATGACTATAGCTGAAATGAATTGTTGGCAACAAAATCACAACTTCCTAGCTTTAAAGTTTCATTATCGTCCATAGCAGTATGAAGAATTATCAAATTCTTGATGCTGTTAGGGTTTATTTGCAACATGTGGACCAGTTTTTAAAGTGCCCTATGTGTATAAGCTTTCTAACGACTCAAAATTTGAATTACGCATTTTTATTTTAAACGAAAAAGCTGATAGTTGAAATACGTTAGTTTGTTATCCTGCAGCTCCGAGCTTAGAATGAATATTTTCAAAGCTTTGCACATCTCTGATTCTATTTCATGAATTATGAACTAAGAGATTAATGAGGATTTATAATATTATAATAATTCTAAACATTGATGAGTTTTAATTAACTTTTTTTTAAAAATTACTTGTGATTTAAACACATGAAATATCATAAATCTATATAAAATAAGCATAAATTATGTCGTTTTTCTTTTACTTGCAAATACCAGTTAGCCTATTTGAAAAACCAAGAGAATTTAAGACAGAGGATGTGTTTCTTGTTTTTCAATGGTGCCTTCTATGGCCAAAAATACGATTTCTGCCGCACACACGTCACAACCAGTTTTACAGGGTCCGTTTTACCCAACAGATATCCATTCATTTATCCACAGATCGTAACTTTGACCGGAATCAAGGAACGATCAATCTCCAATTCTGTACCTCCAGAGGTATTGATTTGTCAATGGGACTTTGAGGACTTTGTGACCCCGACAAATTTAACGTGCACCAGTCACAATTTAATACACGGGGATTCTTCTGCCAGCAGGATTCAAACTCCCATTCACACGAACACGAGACCAACGTCCTAACAACCAGGCTTTCCCGGCACATCATAAAATATACAAAATTATAATAAAAATGCATATAATTACAATAAAAATTTATAAAATTATAATAAAATTGTATGGAATAAGAATGATATAAAAAAATATAATATAAATGAATGCAATTATAATAAAAATATTGAAAGCTTGTAGAAATATTATAAAAATCATAATAAAAATCATAATAAAAATATAAAAAGTTATAATTTAAATGAGTAAAATTATCCTTTTATTATTCAGTAATAAAAAAAAATTCAGAACTTAATACTTTTTAGATGTTTTTATTTCTACGAATAAAATAGAAGAAAAATAGTTTAATTTTCATTTCTAATTCTTTATGTTTCATAACAAATTAGAATATGTTTAATTTTTTTTTTTTTAAATATATATTTTCTTGTTTTTTAATATTTCTTTTCTTGTCATTTTGGATACTTAGCAACTATTTTGTTTAAAAATTATTTTTACATTTGAATATTAACTATTCTTGAATAACATTAATTCAAATTCATTTAACATTAATTCAGAGTTTATGTAGTTGTTATAGTTGTGTAAATAGAATCTCGTTGTATATTATTTTTATTTTATGTTTGTTCTTGACAGAAATTTTCCATGCTTCTCTGAGTTAATCAGAGTTTAGATTTTTTTGAATTATTAAAATAACATAAAAATATATATAATTCCGAGCAGAAATTATGGAAATTCTGATTACATATTTAATTCAACTTCAATTACTTGAAACTTTTTTAAATGTAATTTTTTGAAAAAAAATTAACTCGCTGTTATAGACGTTGCAAATTATAAAAAGTCCGTAATACTCAGATGATTATCTTGAAATATTTTTTTTCAATTTTATGAAAGTTGCTAAAAATTGGGGTAAGGAAAAAATGACAACAATGAATTGTTTTAACAAAAACTACTAGCAAAACTGGATTTATTTAAACTGATTTATAAGCTTTTAAAGTCAGCGAGTATAAAATTTCTAAATGATGGAATCGCCCTCAGGTGACAATTAAAATGTATATAGTTTGTCTACAGTAAGAACTCCCCCTACCGCAAAGTCTAAGACAGTATGCTGCTATGGAAACAAGAATAGCCCATTTCAGGGAGAGTAGCTTCTCTTCACTCTAGGGCTAAGACAAGAGATCAGAGAAAAAGATTACCTTCCTCTCTCCGACCCGAACAGTGCAGTCCTAAACAGTGACCCCACACCCCTACCTGAAATAGTTATATCTCGTTACCATAGTCACCACCACGGGTCCAGACGAATGGCTACGGGTATTCTTACTTTAGACAAACTATAATAAACAGTGAATTATCATAACATATCTAGATAAAAAATGGCTTTTCAATACACCTAAAGAACTATGTGACCATTGCTAAAAAACATTAGAATGACGTTAGTCCTATGGAGCCATTTAAATGAGGCAACATATTTGACTTATGAACATTCATAACTATCTAATGATATAACTGTGGAGGCTGCTAATTGAGACAGCTTGGAAACCATGGAAGTCCGGGGTAGAGGGATCGTGGCTTAGACCCAAGGCCAAAGGTAGGAAGACGAAACAGAGTAGTTCCTGCGCGGAAGGATACTTGCGGATGAACACAACCGATAACCACGGCTAGACTTTTAAAATGTTTTTTACGAAAAACCTTTTTCTGGAGTTAGTTTATTGATGGATTGTTAACTTTTTCTATTAAGGAAGGGTGTTTCAGTGCAATAGTGTTTTATTTGACATCTTCCAGTTTATCATTAAACAACAATAGCATCTATTCTCATCTGCTAAATTTAAAACGAATTTAAATATTCAAAGGGGCCATTTTTTCTAATTTTAATGATGAATGATCAAAAAGGTGAAATGATCAAAAAGCAGTCAATAGTCATGAACTCACGCCTTGTAAAAAGCGTAGCAAAGTTTTAGTAACAAGCTTATAGAATGATTTCTTAATTGAAAATAATTCCTTCTTTTATATCGTTCTTCCATCTTTCACCCAATTGCCAACATCATCTAGATCAGTGATTCTCAACTTTTTTATGGGGACGGCACACTTTTAACGATTTTGAAATTTGACGGCACACAATGAAAAAAATTAGTTTAAAAGTTGTTTACATACCTATAATACACTGTGTTAAATAGTTTGTGATAATAATTTTGAATGTGAAATAAAATAATATGTACTACAAAAGCACGTTTATTAAGGAAATTACTTATTTCTTTCAACTAATTTCTTATTACTTAGTAACAGTTATTTTTTTTTTTTTTTGCTAGTTATTAATTGTTAGCTTGTTTTCGATAGCTATTAACTGTTATTTCTTTGTGGTTTCTTGTTAACTAGTTTTTTTTGCAGATTATTAATTGTCAGCTTATTTTTTTGTTAGTTATCCTTTGTTAATTTGTATTGCATAGCTTACTTTAATGATTAGTTTTTATTTCAGTTTTAAAGTTAATATTTAGCTTGCTTTCCTTTGTTAATTAATAATTTTAATAATCATTAAATTTCCTACTTATTTCAACATTTCTTAAAATTGTCAAAACAATTTAAACACTTCCTTCTTATTTTAAGATTGTCAGAGACAAGACAATGGCCGACAAAGATGTTCACACGGTTAAAGCATGGAAAAATTATAAAATGTGTATATTTATATATATATATTATATTTTATATATATATACTTTTCTTTAATTTAAACTTTACTCGTAATAAAAAAAAGCATTATAATTTTTATTGTATCATTTCTAATATTAGGCGGCACACTTTTAGAATTTGGCGGCTCACAAAAGTGCCGCGGCACAGTGGTTGAGAATCACTGATCTAGATGGTCGCAAAATTGTGAAGGCTACACACTTAGGAGGCAAGTAGTAAGTAATAGACATACGACATGTAGTTTCCGATACTGATGCGTTAGCATGCGCACATCACCTCTGCGCATCCTAAAGCAAAAGTTTAGGAAATTGTCTTCTGTATGTTTTTTTCTTGTCACTTGCCTCCTCAGTGTTTGGCTTACCTTAACCTCCATGGTACCAAACACCTGACCTACAATGAGCTGCTTTTGGAATGCTCTGACGTTCGATATACTCTTTCGAATATTTTCCACGGGTTATTTTGCTTAATTTTCATTACGTCCTTTAGAGCTTTCTTTTGTTCTTTATTTCTTCTAGAATACTCAAATTTATAAATGAATATCGTGTCGCTGTGGTAACCGTTACCAAAACAAATTCTGATATCTGTG